GTCCACCCCATGGCCTCTTGCGACAATCCTCGCCCTTTGCTCTGGGCCTTGCTGGGCTGCTCCTGTCAGAGGTGAAGGGAGGGACTGGCCAGGGGCCGGATCAGCAGACAGAACCACTGTGTCTCGCCACTAGTGGTTGGACGTCACTGGGCACTTAGGGGGTGGGAGAGGCTTTCAAGGTTCACGTCTCCTCAGCTGCTTCTCTGGGGCCCGGGAGCCCCTGCCTAAAAGTGGCAGCCTCTCGCCTCCACATGGCAGCCTGGGGAATCTCCTCAGGACCCGTGCTCTTGCCCAGCCAGTGAATTCAGAGGCGCCTCCTCCAGTATGAAGGCAGGCGCTGACCTGTGCAGCCCCTCTCGGTTTCTTCCCCCCGAGATCTCCATGAGCCCTAACCGGGACCGCCGGCCCTCCTCCCGCTAGGGGAGGGGTTGGCTGGGGTCGGGGCCAGAAGGAAGGCTGTGCCCACATAGAGTGATAAAGGCCACGGACACGGGTCCTCATATGTTCAGACCTCAGAAAAGCCAGGACAGGAGACAGCTGTGACAGTCTCCCTGGCGTTCCCTGTTTGGATGGGAAGGGCCCAGAAACATCTTAGAAAGATGGAGGCTGTCTGCTGAGACAAGGGGAGGGTCGCCCACAAGATCCTCCCACCATCACTAGGAACCCACGGCTTCCTCCCCAGCCCACCCCTCTGACGCAGAGCTCCTAGAAGAGCAGGATGCTGCTTTTAAAAAGCACTCCTTGACCTTGAACTTGTAAATGTTTCTCAATTTTCCCCTTTTATCACTGTCCCGCTAACATTATGCTTTGTCATTTCTTAAGTTCCGGTATTTAATATAAAATATTGAATGAAAACATATTTTACACACAGGCTCTGCAACTGGATGGGGGGAGGGAACGTTTTGTCAATCATGTCTGTCCTTCCTCTGGGCGCTGGACAGACATTCCCAGTATCTGAAGACGCATCTCTCGGCATCCTGCTCTGGTCCACGGGGCCAACGTGCCCTCCCCGTGGAAAACACGGTGCCGTTGGGGTGTGTGTGAGCTTTGAGTCAGGGTCAGCTAGGATCTCAACTCTGCCACACTCGAGCTGTGTGCCCCTGTGAGGTTCTTCTTAGAGCCCCAGTTTCCTCATCTGTGAAATGGGTGCGTTCTCAGTAAGAGGAGGCCTATGAACGGCCCTGGTCTGCACACAGAGGGCGCCATCACCATCCTGTGCATGTTAGCACTCGGCCATCTCTCCTGGGAAAGCCCTCGGTGCTCCGGAACATTGCTGGTGCGGGCTTTTGAGGAGTCGGGCCGTCAGACCTCCTGACGCCTGCACCCCGTTCCCCGGGCGTCTCACCTCTCTTCCCAGAGTCGTCCCCCCCTTTCCACATCCCTCCTGCTCTTTCTCCTGGAGTCTACCGCCTCTCACGGCCCTCAGAATCTCTTCTCGCAGCGTCACCGCCACCAATGCTCCTGGGACGCTGTGAGCGGGAAAAGCCGCCTGTCCCAACCACCGCCCTCCACGCTGACCTCAGCTGCCCCCTTGGGCCATCCTTCAACCTCCCGCTCCGTAAAAACACTTGTTCTCTCTCAAACTCACATTTGCTAATTGGGTCTGCCCCAGCTGCCCACATATGAGATCCCTCTGTCCTAGGCCTCCCGCGCCCCCGCTCGTTTCAGCCTGTGCTGCAAGGCACCGACTGTCCCAAGTCTTGGTCCTCGGGAGTCTGACCTCATTCCCTCATCAGCCTCAGAGACCCAGCCTCATTCAGGGGGACTCGACTGCGTTAGGCCGCCTGCCGGCTGGCCCGGTGGATTTCCTGCCGTCTGCAAGACCACCCTTCCTACACTGTCTAGCCCTCTTTCCTTCTTAAGGTCAGTCTGAGAACTAACAGAATCAGGGTTTTGCTTGAAAAATGGAGAAAAGCCCAGAGCCCTCCACGGAAGCAGCTGGTTTCCCTGTGTGAGAAGTCGGACCAGCTGTGGTCATCGTCATGATCATTTCAATGTATTTATCAAGTTCTGCACAGATTTCAAACCCTTGATCAATAAAATGGTCACAAGAAGCAAAGACCTGGATGACAAGGGCCAAGACCTTCATCTTTTCTCAGGGATTCTTCTCACTGTGGCTCTTATGCATTTACCCGTGAGAGATTCTCAGGAGCCACTCTGCCTGCTGCGAGGCTTTGGAGAAAATGCCCCCGTCGAGGACCACTGTTCTCACACACGCACACACCCCTGACACAACTGTCAGTCTGAGGTCAGAGGTGCAGGGAGGACGGCTCAAGGAGCCCGTCTTTGCCCTTTGGTGCCCACGAGAGCCAAGCGAGTCCCTAGTGGGAGCGGGACCCTCTCCAAAGTGTGGGGGTGTCAGGGAGGCAGGGGCGTGTTGTGGAGTGTGAGCCGAGTGGGGCTCGAGGACTACACATGCAGGTGTGACCGTAACCACGCTCCTTCTTCTCTGGAAAGTTCTGCCCGCTTGTGAAGAGTCACCGGCAGGAGGCAGACTGGGCACACGCCTCCTCAGGATGGATTCCCCGGGCCACACAGCAGCTCCTCTGACACCTGCAGCACGAACGTCCTCCGCCCTGGACCACCGCAGCAGAGCCCCAGGCCACATTCACGGCCAGACGGTTCACTGCGGTCCCACAATCAACCGCAAATCTCTCAGTCACCTCTCAGCAAGCATTTTTGAGCCTGGCCTTCAGGTCCTGGCTCTGTGAAATGTGGCCCAGCCCAGTAGGGTGGGAATCCCTGGGGCGCTTGTTAGAAATGCACAACCTCGGGCTCTGCCCCAGACTCCTCGGGTGATGTCTACGGACTCTGGGGGCTAGAAGCCCTGATGTGAGCAACACAGGAAAGGGAGACCTGCTCCCCCTCTAGAAGCTCACCCTGGCCGGGAAGATGATGTGAAACAACAGCCAGAGTCAGGGCTCACTGTCAAGCATAATTTGGCAGGAAACTGGGATCCAGACCCAAGACCAAGTCCTGCCTCAGCTTCCTCATCTATAAAGCGGGAAGACCCCTGGCCTGTCCCCCCTGTGGACTGTCCTGGACGGGAAAGCACCACCCCCATACGAGGTACTCCTGAATGTTACGTGCTTTGAGTGCCACCGATGTTTAGAGATGAGAGGTCAGGGATCGCTGGACCGACTGGGAAGATCCAGCAAGGGGAGCGGGCGGGAGGTGGCCTTTTAAAGACATCAAACCACACACTGAACCAGGAGCTACAGTAAAGCGAGATGGAAAAATGCACATGTTGACAACTGCCCCAACACAGCCCAGGCAGCAGAGAGCTCCCGCTGCCCAGCCTTCCCCTGACGACCTGCTGGCGGTTGGCACCACCGCACTCCGCGAGACACAGAGCACGAGGGTGTGGCCTATGGGGAGGCTGGCAAGGGCCCTGCTGTGCGAACCTCAAGTTAACTCTGGTTTGGGGTGTACAGAAGGGGAGTGGCTGGTCATTTTGCAGAACTGACCCGTGGAGATGGCTGGACAGCTGGTGAGTCCCGGGCAATCATCTTCCCAGATGACGTGTATTAAGCCTTTGCTCTGTTCTAGATGTCGTACTTTTTCCCCATTTAGTCCTCACTAGGACCTGTCAGGCCAAGGACTCGTTCATCCCCACTTCACAGAGGAGGAAATGGGGACCTCGGATTTGAACCCAGGTTGGTCTGCTTTCCCAAGCCCGTGACCTCAGCTGCACGCCAATGGCTGGGGCAGGGGAGACTGGTCTCCCCAGTGCGGCTGAGACAATGTGGCTCTGCTTTTGTCGGGAAACCTGGCTCGCCTGACTCGCCGCTGACGTCTGCCATGCTTGTCCTGAGCTTCTCCAGAGAAACGCTGTCTTCTGGCAGGAAAAGATAAAAACGGCTGATACAAATGAGTCACCACACTCGCTATAATTAACGGTGATGCAAGAGCCAGATGCAAACTAAGAGGGGCCTCAGGACCTGACTTTTAGGCCCAAACTCTGAGCTGCACTTCAGTGCAGAGGCGAGTCTCCGAGTTTCAGTGGCTGAGCCGCCGTCTGCTCAAGACACATTTAAACGAAGAAATGAAGTCTGGAATGCAGGCAAGCTCCAAGATAATGGGGCTGAAGGGGCGGCACCAAATTAATCTCCTTATTTACAACTGAAAAGCCATACACCAGAACCAGAAAGAGAGTTTATAGTTTGCAGATAGTGTAGATCTTTGCTTTCACTCCGCTGCCCTGGGAAGTCTGAGCAGCTGTCAGACACCAGCTGAGCTGATTTAGAGCAATGACAGTTGTAAACTCAGTTGTACTGAGCCCTCCTGATCAAGTGTCTACCTGCGAGCTTTTCAAAAAGAGCTGTCATGAGCATCTCTCTATTCTCTTCCGCTGACGTGGAGTAAGAGGTAATGCTATGACAGCCTGGATACCACAAACCCTAAAACGGATTCCCGCCACGCCGCCCGCACGCCCAGCCAGCCACAGCACCAGCAGTTACTTCACGATGCGCGGCGAAGGCACTGCCCTGGCCGCTTCCAGGATGGTAACTGCCTCCTGAGGTTCCACAGAGAAATAAATCGTGGTCAGGTCCTGGATGGGCTCAACTAGTGGTCATCAACGTCGGTGCATCTTCTTACCCTTACCTGTTTAAAAGAGGCGAGACCGTCCTTGAGATCTGAACACAGCACAACAGAGAGAATCGTGCCACTGTCCTTTTGAACAGACTTTAATGGAGAGCGAAGTGAAAATGCAGGTTACATGTCAGTGTCATCATCGATACGTTTGTAAAATCAACACCAGAACAGTGATGCATCTAACGTTGTACATTTCCTAACTTCAGTCGTCACAGAGCAAATCATTATCAGATATATTATTTACACAATAATTTCAAGCAACAGTAAATAACAACCTCCCTCCCTTAAAAAAACCACCCACACGCCCCCCAACCACCTTTCGACAGAGGGTTTCCTCGCAGGAGTCAGGCTTGTGTTTCGCACACTTGTGGACCCAGTGCCATCAGCAGATCTCGCACAGCCGTTTTCTTTCAGTCACTTTAATTTTACAACTTGAAGCCACATAATTGGCGTGGTCTGCACACTCTAGGACACCCCACGTGGTGAAAATGAACTCCACTCCCTTTGTGTGAGGGGACATGTACATCTCCGAGGATGCATAACATTACAACTCAAAAAAGTCAAAAATAAACGCAAAACAACACCTGGGATCTTCAAGCACAGTTTCCTAAGAGCAGTGTGCTACTTGCTAACACTGAATTAACTGAATGGTAAGATTCTTTCAGGTTTCCCTACAGAGGTACTGGTTAGTTCTGATTCTTTTTTCAGCTGCTGAAACGCATGAGTTCTGAAGTTGCCGGGAGCATTACATCCTGCCTCCCAGGTTAGCAGCCCGCCTGACCTCCGGAATGTCGGCGGGACTCGCCCCAGAGCCTCGCTCTCTGATTTATTTCTAGCTATTGCTGTTAGTAAATGGAAACCACGACAAAGTTTACATTAGCAGACACATACACATGCCCTGGCCTATAAATATTCTATGATGAAAAATGGCACAGTGACTCCATTCCTAGTGAAAATGAGCGCAGAGGAGGAGAGGGGCGTCATCAACAACGGCTCTCTTACGGTGGAAAATCCAGACCAAATGGCGATGGGCTTTTAACTGACCAGACAGCGTCAGCCACTTCTCCAGGGCCTTGTGAGCCAACTGAAAGTGACCCAAGCAGCGCCCGGCAGCTCCCCCGGGCAAGCCTGGTGGACGCAGTAGGCAGGTGTCTTGTCCCGGAAGCCGGATGAAGAAGGTCGAATGCCGTGTCCTTCTTGGAGAGGAGGGCGAAGAGGAATTCGAGTCAGATCTGAGGGCAGTTCATGCGTAGCCCTGCCTGGACACGGCGCTGTCCCGCTGGACCCTCACAGGGCCAGCTGCAGCTTTGTCATGTTCCTCTGGTGCATGTTGTGATGGCGGACCAGCTCATCTGACCGGGCAAACTTCTTCTGACAACTAGGCCACCGACAGCTGAAGGGCTTCTCACCTGCAGACACAATCGCCAGTCAGAGACCCTCGCACAGACAGCCCGGGCACGAGGTCAGCCGTGCAGGCCCGAGTCCAATCGCACAAGGCACCCCCTCCACGTTCCCTCCTGCTCTTTCCCTGAGCTGACCATCGGGCTCATTTCACAGGCATCCCGGAAATGGCAGCACCTCTGGGGACTTGAGGATTGAAATACTGAAAAAACTGTAAAATATTATTAAGTCAGAAAACCTGGAAGATGGGAGGGGAGGAATGAGTCTAGCTAACGAAATGTCTGGGCAACTCCTATTTAGTTGAGGGAAAAAACATCGGCTTCAACCTCTGCTGTTGGACTGTTCCGTGAACTGTGAATTTCCCCCTTTGCTGTCTAAGCAGAGAATTGTTCACTGGGCTGCGAGGGCCTCCGGCTCATCACTCTGGATATTAGTGATTGATTGCCATCCAGCAGTGGAGCTGCGACTGTAGCTTTAAGATCTCTGTCTGTATATTCTGGATGGGTTGGATATTTTTAAATAAATCACTGATATCTATGTGCATGGTACCTGCTTCTTTTTCCTTCAAGCGTTACTCAGAGCATAAACTCTATTATACAGAAAATTCTAGTTGAGCATGGTTTTGAGATTTTTAACAAGCTTGGCAAAAGCTGGAAGCTTCTCCATCTACCGAGCCCTCAGAAGTTCCTTCCAAGCCTCCTTCTGTGTAGGGAAGGTAATCAGCATTTATTAAATGCCTACTATATGCCAGGCCTTGCATTGGGCATCATAGATACACCTTGCCTCATGTGCTCCTTACAACAGCCCTGTAAGGGAAGCTTTACCACCCCCACTGTATGGATGAGGCTGGACTTCTGGTGAGCGCAGACACAGGCAGGACTCAAGTCTACGTCTGTCTAACTCCAAAGCCCATGCACTCTGCTGTGCCACACCCCAGGGTGGAGCCATAATGGGGGCACAGCTGTGGCTTCATCCCAAGTAAAAGTGCCAATCCCTCCCCACCTGGGGAGCCTCTCAGGCTGTCACTGGTCCCACCTGGCCTTCTCTGAGAACCACTGGTCGGGATGAGCACTGAGAAATGTCCCAAGGGGGCGCTGTTCCAGGGTCAGAACTGGAGGCCAGTCAAAGACAGCATCAAAGGGTCTGCTGGTGACACAGGCCACTTCACGCCTATGCAGATGTGCGCCGGGTGGGGCAGGGGCAGGAACGATAAATCTTTCCCACCAAATTATGGGCTCAGGACTGAGGCCAAGAAGCGACACCAAGGGCACCCAAGCAGCAGGAATGAGACGCCCATCAGGTCCATTCGGGCACCGGTGCCTTGACCCTGAGAGAGCGGCCACGTGGGCTGAGGATGTGGGACTGCCCTCAGGCTTCCCTTCACCTGCACTCACTGCGCCGCTGCCCTTCCTGATCTGCCTCTCACTCCGGCCCCACCGTGGCCATGCTCCTGATGGACGAATCCCAGCCCTTCCCCTGGCGTCTGCATTCTTCTCAGGCTCTCAGTGGTGCTCAACTCTGCTGACTTTGGCTCCCCTTGATTCTCTCTCCTCCCTGGGCTGGGAGGTGAACCCCATACCCTGAAACCTTCTTTCTCCAACAAAGAAGGCAGAGAGATGCGGTGGGCTGGGAGCAGATAGAACTGGGCTTGCTCCTTCCCAGCACTGGGACTTTCAACAAGCCATCTGCTCACTATGTGCCTCAATCTCCTCATCTGTAGAATGGGGATAAGACAGGCATCCCTGCTCTCCTGACAAGGATGTCCTGAAGATAAACTGAGGAAACCGAGGTGCTAGCCCTCCTCCCAAAGCTAGGAAACACACAACAAGGATGGTGCTCTTCACAGCAGCCTCGTGGAGAAGCAACAGCCCTCCGCAGCCAGTGAACAAACGTCCTCTTCCCCTCCCTCTACCAGAACATCCACACGCTGCTGTGAGCCTGGCAGAAACCAGGGCGGCTCCCACGGCATCAACTTTTAGCAGAGCAAGGAGACAGCACTCCAAAAACACTGTCATGAAATGGGGGCTTTCAGCAGAATAAATGTTTGGCTTGCTAGAATTTCTGCTGTTTTTCTATAAGGTTGATTATCAAATCAAACAGAGTGATAACAATGTAATGGACAGTAGGGACCTGGCTTGCCCTTCGTTTCATTGTGGACACTCATGGAAGGAGTTCTTCCTCAACTCTCTCCTGCTCTGTACCCCACCCCCCAACTTCAGCAATGTTATTATTTCAAGATAGTCACGCACTGCCCTTTCTCTCAACCGACTCTAACCCTGACTGGAACATTCACACTGGTCTTCTGCAGTCTCTCTCATCACAAACAACTTCATCCAACAATAGTTTAAAAAATAATGAAAAATAAATGTGAAGAAAAGTTACGCACTTGTTTTACCTGTATGAGTCCTGGTGTGGGTCTTCAGGTGGTCGGACCGGGAGAACTTGCGCTGACAAGTTTTACACTGGAAGGGTTTCACACCTAGATGGACAGAGAAGGTCTAGCCGCGGCCCTAACCACGTGGGGGCAGCACGAGGCCCACAAGGCCAGCTTCCCGGCGGCCACGCCTGCAATGTCATCTCACGCTCACATCCCCGACACTCTAGGCCCAGCGCAAGCCGCCTGCCGCCGCTTGACCCCTGAAGACCGGCCGCTGTCAGGGGAACCACTGTTCCTGAACCACGACTGCCCAGCTTCTCAGCCAGGTCTCAGCCGTGTCTGAGACTCAACAGAGGAATCTCTGCTGCAGACGGGGCTCAGCCCCCGCCACCTGTGAGCTGTTCTGATGTGCAGTGCACCAGCAGCAAACTGCTGGTGCAACCCCACAGTTCTGTGGTTTGCAGGAGAAATGCGGGATGTTTCCTTTTCTTTTCTTTTTCTTTTTTTTAAGAGAAGGAAAATCCCCAGAGATTATAAAAAATATATATATATATATTGGAAAAACTAAACAAATGGTCGACCCTCTCACATCCACATTCAACAACAAAGAAAACCCCAGAATCCACTGTAACCCAAGGGCAGTACCACCAGCAGCGAGAAGTGAGCCCACAAACCTGTGTGTCTCCTCTGGTGCCTTTTGAGCTGGTCTGAACGGGAAAACCTCCGCTCACAGTCCTTGAAGTCACACTGGTATGGCTTCTCACCTTGGGAAAGACACACTCCGTGTGAGGCGACACTGGAAAGGGGGTCTCTTTAGAGGCAGCCTCTCCTGCTGGGGCTGAGGGATCCCCAATGCCTGAGGCTCTTCAGCGGAGCCGTCAGGATGGCGCTGCCCAGCGCAGAGGGAGGTTAAAGGGCCCCGCCTGTGCGCTTGTGGACAGTGGGCCCAGAACGGGCCGAGGCGAACGAGATGGTCCCTCCTCCGAGTGAGAGGTGGACGGGAACTCAGGCTCCGAATCTGACCCGAGGGTCACACCCAGCTCTGCCCCCAAAAGCCCTGGGTGAGGGGCCATTTCCTTTTTGTGAAAGGGGGCCAATAAGCTGACAATTTAAAGGACTTCTGAACAGATTAAACCAGACCATCCAGGTAAAGGGCTCAGCCGAGTGCCTAGCACAGAAGCAGGGCTCAAAAAATACTAGCAGAGAATATTTAGACAAGTAATAAACCAAAGAAGTCGCAGCTCCCAGGCTGAGTCTGAGGCAGAATTCTGGGAGGGATGAGCCTTAGAGCCAACCCTGGGAAGTAAGCAATTTACGTTTTATGGCCCAAAGATTTGATGTTCTCTGCTGCCGACTGCTCCCTCCTGAATCAAGCGTAAACAGCTCCACGGCTGTCACACTCAAGTTAAACCAGGAATCACAGTGTTTAAAGTCTCTGCTGTCCCTTTATCCAAGAGAAGGCAGGAGTGGGATTACACAACCTCCTGCCGAGGAACAGAGAAGCCCCACCCCTGTCCTCGCTAGAGAAAGTTCAGCCAAATCCCTGGAACCGAGCCCCAGGAGTGCACTGAGAGCCTCGGCCTGCCCACCTCCTTAGGAGAATTCTGAGTCACCATTCTGGGATGGGAGTAAGCCTCGGGACCAGCCGGGTCTTTCCCCCGCAGGGCAGTCCCTAGCTCCTTTCCAGCCTCACACCTCCTTCTCAGTCCCTGATTAATCTGTATTCCTGCAGATCACCATTCCTAAATCTGCCTTGCTCTTGCTGACACTGATCATGCTTCACCCCCACCCCTCAAAGTCTACTGTGCACCCTCATAGGCGCTGCCTCCTCGGTGATGCCTTCTCGGAAACTTCACGTCCAGACTGAGGCCGTCCTTCCCCCACTACAGCGTTTATTACGGGCTATCTGATGTGGTGGGCCGAGTCTAGGTCTGCCTTCTTCCAGGGCCTGGAAAGTCCTGAGGGGGGAGCTTTCCCTCAACTTCATCTTTATGTCACCCAGAGCCTAACACCGCAACACCCCCATTCAGTCTAATTTCTTTTCCTTGCCTTTCTGCTTCTGCTCATCCTTCTGCCTGAACTTACCAAGTCCTGGATGGTTAGCCACACCCTTCCTCCTCCAAGAAGCCCTCTGGGATGGCCCTAGCTCAAATGGATACCCTCTGAACTCCTCAGCCCCTCCAGCCTCCGATTTAGCTCATAAGCACACACTCTTTTCATTTGTGCGTATCCTAGCTCCAAAAGAGACCATAAACTCTTTCAGAAGGAGGGCTGCGACTTGGGGTGAGAAGGCATGAAGTTTGAGTCCGTTTCCACTATATCCTACCCACCTATTAACTGAAATAATGCTGTAGAGAGTCTAGCATATACAAAGTATTTAATACCAAAGTACTTAACGTAAGGGTCTGTACTCTTAGCATATAAATAAATAAGAAAAGATTGCACTTTTCCAAGAAGGGGCCACGGGTTTGTTAAGCACCAGCCTGCTTCCTCACCTTCTGCAAGGAGGAGCTCCGTAGGGCCCCAACGGGTCTCAGGACACTGCCCACGCCTTCCCTTCACACACACATTGAACCCCGCTGCTTCCTAACTGCGTCTTTCCCATTAAAAGTTCCTACAACTATGTTGCGTTCAATGCATTCCCTTGCATTTTCCAGGCAGAATTTTACTTTACCATTTTCCTCACAACCTGAACAGATCCTTTTCAAATGACCCCATAACACGCCACTGGTCCTCTCCCCTTTAGCCTCAAGCAAGTAGTTTACTGAGCGCAAACTCAGGTCTGTGCCAGAATCGCATCCTCCAGACGCAAGGGACGAGCAAAGCCAATAGTCTAAAGAGATCTGAGTGCAGCTTGCTTTCTGCTCCAGCTTCCCAAAGTCAGCAGTAACAATAAAATAATAGTGGTAACCGTAACAGCAAAGCTGTCCTTCAGTTGCGGGAAGAAGGCACCAGCTCCCTGTAGGAAAGCCCGTTTCCCCGTAGGGTGACCCAACCACGCTCCCATCTAGTGCCCACAAGGCCCAAAGAAACATCTGGGAGACAGCAGCTCCCATTCACGGTGCCAACCACCGGACGAGGCCGACTCTCCTTTCCAGAGGCAGGCCCCTTGACTGCGGGAAAACCCACTTTTCTTTGACACATCATCATCTGGTTATTACTAAGCCAAGCAGTTAAGTTTTTCTCTGGACCACCTCTTCCTCAGTCTCATGACGACCTTGCCCATCAAGCTCTCAAAACTGTCCGATTACCAAGCTCCCAGGCTGGCTCTTCCCTTAGTATTCTAACAGTAACGCTATCATTACTCAGACCATCGACACAGGATACTGTACTAGGTGCTTCATATCACTGACTCCTTCAGTTCAGTTTGATTCTACAAGTTAATCTAACTTAACAATTGTACAATTGTACACGGTGGGATTATTATCTCTATCTTCCACACGTGCAGATGAAGTTCAGGGAGAGGTAAGGTGACTTGCTCAAGGTCTCACCCCTGCAGGGGAAGCCAGAAGCCAAACGCAGGCTCTTTAATTCTGTGGACTTCCCCCCCAGTGCTCTGCTCTGCTCGTCTCTAATCAGGAGGGGCAGTCAGGACTAACATAGGAGGGGCGGTCAGGTCTAATCAGGAGGGACGGTCAGGACAGGCGGCCCCACAGCCTCTCCCAGCACCGTGGCCAGACCCTCCCACGCAGAGCCTTGTTCCCACCCAGAAGTGGCCTGTGTCGCAGGTGTGCGAGCTGGGAGCAGGAGCTCTGAGCACACCGCCCAAGGCCACTGGGACCAGGCTGGCTGGCGGACACACTCACCAGTGTGCTTCCGGCTGTGCATCTGCAAGTGGGACAGCTTAAAGTATCGCTTATTGCAGCCCGGGTAAGCACACATGAAGGGGCGCTTCTCACTGGTCTCTGACGCCGACCGGACGAGCGTCGGGGCGACTCCGGGCACGCGCCGGACGTCCTGCAGGCAGAGTGTGAGAGAAATGGAGGCTTTAGGCCCCATGTGAACACTGGTGTCGGTCCCAAGGCAGGGTGAGTGCTGGAAGGCACCCAGAGGCGGAGGCCAATGGGAGGCCTCAAGCCGCTCCCTCCACACCCTACAGGCCAGGGCAGGCGTCGTCGACGGAGCAGATCAGGACGTTCTGCAGCGTGGGGCTCTGACGCCATCACCACTGATCCACCAGAACCCGTACATGAAAGGAAGTCTGTCTGGGGTCGCTGACCCCGAGCATCTGGAAGAAAATTCTGGTGACTGGAAAAGCTCCCACTCCACCCCGTCTCTCAGCTTCTCCACTTGTGGCAGCGAGGTCTGGCATCCACAGTTCCGGACTCTGCTCTCTTCCCTCCCCCTCAGAGACAGGGCCACATGACCTCGGGCCCAATCTGCAATGGGCAGGGAGTCCTTATCAGAGAAGAACGTGGGACACCGAATCAGCCCCAAACTGACCACTTCCTGTGTAAGTGACAGGGAAGAAGGAGCCCCCGAAATGTGGGGTTTCTGTCTATAAAGGGAGGCTGAAACCACCAGAGCCCACAGTGTAGCCAGTGCAATCCTTCAATAGTGGCCCCAAGAAACACTGTGTCTGCCTTCCGTGCACCTTCCACGCCCTTCACAGGGCATTCTGTTGATCCCTTTATCTTGGGAGAATAAATGTGTGTACGGTGAGCGCTCCGTGAAAAGGAGCCAGAGAAAAACCTTGAGGCAAACTCCCTTCCTGTTCTCAGCATCAGGGAGTCACAGCTGGGAGAAGTGGAAGAACCCGTGGGGCCACTGAATCCTCCTCCGGCTCTTAGAGACGAGCCAGTCAAGGCCACAGAGCATAGCCACGTTTTGTGTTGAGACTGGAGCCACTTACCGCACCCTGCTGTGCACTTGCCATGCTCCCCACGCTCACGGTCTAGCTCCTATCTCACACTGCCTGGCACTGCAAGATCATCATCTTTTTTGAAGAAAAAGTACTGTATTGACACACAACTTTGCTGTTGACAGGCCACAGTGTCTCGGGGCAAAGGGTGGTATAAATTCAAATGCTGAGCCAGTTGTGTGTGTTTGGTATCCTCCAGGAGAAAATGAGTAGATAGTGAAACTACACCTGTGTGATCTGGAGTCTATCTGAGGCCACGACGGTGAGTCTGACCAACTGGGCCGGGTGGAAAGGAAGGAGCTTTTTCCGTTTCCTTTATTCATCCTAGATGCGGCGCAAACAGCAATGGGCTGTAAACTGTCAGTCTGGGTCCTGGTGGAAGATTCTGATGGAATTTGTGGAGGAGAGACTGGATGACTCTTTCTGTCCTTCCACAAGATTTCCATGTTTCTGTAGCCTCTGCCTTTATTTCTCTCCATTGGAAGGTTTAGGATGAGGGACCTGCTGTTCTATCACCATGACGCTTCTGGAAACATGCATCAAAACACCTGAGAGCTCCTTGCCCCACACGTCACGGGGGAAACTGGCCCCCCACGACTTATTTCTAGGGTGCTAACGATTCTGGAGAAAGCATCATGGCGGTCACCGACGGTGCAGCCACCGAGTCACACGCAAAGTCACAAATAGGAACCCTTGGAAGTGCGTGGTCTGCCTGCCCAGAGCGGCTCCGTGGGGGCCTCCCGCGGGTCTCCTGCCTTCTCAGAAGCATTTACCTTTTCACCTCACTTTCCTCACTCTCCCTGGGGTCACAGCCTCCCTGGAGCTGGTCACAGCCCTCTGCCTCCTGTGCAGCAGCATCACGGCGGTCACACACGGGGCTCTGGAGCCAGACAGGACTTGTGCTCTAAGTCTCTACTCCACCTCTTACCTGCTACGTGATTTTGGACAAGTCACCCGTCGTCTCTGGACTTCAGTCTGCTCTTTCATAAAACAGAAATAATAACACTACCCACCCTCATAATGGTGTGCTGAAGATCAAATGAAGAAAAAAAGTCCATGTATAGACATGGAAGAACCTTAAATGCATACCGCTAAGTGAAAGCACTCAGTCTGAAAAGGCTACATATTGTGTGATTCCAACTACACGACATTCTGGAAAAGGCAGAACTACTTGGACAATACAAAGGATCGGTGGTTGCAGGGTGGGGGTGAGCAGGTGGAGCAGTGGCATTTTTAGGCAGTGACTCTATTCTGTACGAGACTGTAAGGCAGATTCCCGGTATTATGCATTTAACAAAACCCACAGAACCGGGCAGCACAAAAAGAGCACCTTAATGTAAACCACGGACATTAGTACAATGTCGTGTCAACTGGCTCATCAGCTGTAACAGACGCACCTCACCAAAGAACCTGCTAACAACAGGGGACTCCGTAGGGGAGGAGGGGGAAGGGGGTACAGGAACTCTCGGTACTCTCTGTAAACCTAAAACTACTCTAAAAAATTAAGTCTATTAAAAAACAGTCCAGATATAAAACGTAGCACAACACCTGGCATAAGCTGGTGTCCAGCCACAGATGGCGCTGCTATTGTCATTGTTATTATTGTTGTTGTTGTTATTACGGGCAGGGCAGAGTCTACCTTTGGGCACTTTACAATGCAGACCAGATCTTAGAAGTGAAGGGTCCAGGTCATTAATTCAGGCCCAATTAGCCCAAAGAGAGGAGCTGTGTACCCACCCTGGAGAAAGCCAACTAGGCAGTGAGGGAGAAAAGGATTCTGCGGGAAGCACCTTGGCCTGAGTCCAGGAGGTGGCAGGGTTCACACTGGCCTCTGGAGAGGGGGAGGCTGCCCTACCTGTCCCAGGGGAAGAGGAGGGGTCCTTGCTGGGGACCTGGGAGGAGCCTATAACTAGGAACAGACTTGCCAGGGTCAAATGGCCAAAGGGCCATCAGCAAGGAAGAGAAGGCTGTCAGGAAGGGAAAGAGGCCCCAGTCCTCACCTGAATGCCCCTGAAGACGCCGTGGGTGTGTATTCTGTACTGGGCACCGCAGAGGATGGGTGTGGTGTGGTTATCGCTCTCGTACCCCGTGCCATGGCTGCAAACACAAGGAAGAGAAAACAAGGCTTGGGTTGGTTCACAGGCGCCATTTGGCAACGTGCATCTGCAGCGGAAGCAATGTTTCTTAAAAGCTCACATGACAATGGTTGGTTTTTGCCTCCCTCCACTGGGCCACTTTGGAAACAGGGCTCTGTGAGGGGCGGGCTGCTCAGTCCTCTGCCACCACCACACAGCCCTCCCCACACTCAGATTCTCGCAGGCACACTTCTCACAGGCACGACCTTCTTGGTCGATGCCTCTCAGACAAGCTGGGAAAAGTCCCAGTGGCAGGATTTCATCCCCAGCAAGTTGTTTACCATGTAGATGGCAGGCTGACAGCTGCGAATATCTCAGGAATGAGCAGATGCCTCAAGTTTCACATTAAGTGCCCTGGATTTTTGTCTGCACCTCATGACTCAGTTCTGACCAGATTGCACCAGGAAAGTGATGACACTTACAAGAAGAGATGTCACATCCTCAGAAGTGGGGATTACACATCTGTGGCCCCACTCTGCTTAACCTACAGATCAGTTTTCCTGCTCAGCTTAACTCCTTGCAGCCAAGCTGTGCCCTAGGTGGACACTGGATAATCTTCCTTCAGCATTAGAGTGACTAGTCTCCTAGTTGGTGCTCAGGTTAACCTTGGACTAGTAGAGCTGAGGGATGTGGATGCTAAAGAGAACAACTTGTTGGGGGGGGGGTGTTCTGCTCTAAAAGTAGTCTTTCCTTCAGGTAGAATGCTGATATCTGTTCTGTAGTTATTTTACTTCCAAATGGGGCAGAGAGAGGATTCTCATCCACACTGCACACAGAACCACACCTAGAATCACCACGGGAGTTTTCATGAAAGCCTCTGTAAAATGGGGCAGCTGCTTTGAGGAACTGGCAGTTCCTCAAAAGGTTACACATAAAGTTACCACATGACCCAGAAATTCCACTTCTAGGTATATTCCCAGGAGAGATGAAAACACATGTCCACACAAAAACATGTACACATTGCTCGTTAGCAGTGTTATTCATAATGTCCAAACTGTAGAATCAACCCAAATGCCCACAATAAACAACACACAGTATATTCATACATTGGAATACTATTTGGCAATAAAAAGGAATGAAGTACTGATCCATGATAGTGTGGACAAACCTTGAAAACATTATGCTGAGTGAAAGAAGCCAGTCACAAAAGACCGCCTATTAGGTGACTCCATTGATACAAAACGTCCAGAATAGGCAGACTTATACAAACAGAAAGCAGACTGCTGGTTGGTTGCCTCGGGCTGGGAAGTTGGTGGGAAATGGAGAGTGACAGCCGAAAATGTCCTCCAATTGTGGTAACGATCCTACAATTCTGTGACTGTTCTAAAAACCGCTGAATTGTACACTCCCAACAGGTGAGCTGTATGGTATGTGAAATATATAAAGCTGCTTTAAAGAATGACCTCTGGGGAACGGGGCCCAGGCACCAGCATGTTTTAAAGCCTCCAGGTACAGTTTCCTGGCTGTGAGGGCCGAGAACGTCCCTCCTCTGCTCAGTTACTCTAGAGATCCCAGGGGCGCGGGTCGGGGAAGCGGGCAGCCTGGCCGATCAGCCCTCTCCATCAGAGGTGTGGGGAAAGCCTGGGCTGGCTCAACTCTTGCTCACCCAGGGCAGAGAACTCCCAGAAGAGCAGAGTGTCCACCAGGACAGCTGAGATGTCCACACTCCGCAGCCACAGGAGCACACTTGGTTCTGGCTCCAAGCTTTTTAGAAAGAGCTGCGGCCTCACTGACAGCAAGTCTGGGGAGATGGTGGCACTTGTGTCACCCTAACCCACTACAACTTGCCTCTACACCCGTCAGGTGATTTCTGACATATCTGGGGAGAAATGTCCCAAAGAGCTAAACCAGGGTTAAACATGCAAAAATTGGGAAGAAATGCCAAACTCAGATAGCATCTGCCTTTCTGAACCTTAGAGTGTTTGCCAAGAGAAAGAGGCCATGTCTGCCTTCCCCATGATTATGTTATGTAGACAGTGGGCACGTGAGAGTTGATGACAAGGGCGATGTGGGAGCAGAAGGAGGACAGGACGAGAATGTGCTGCCACGACACCTTCCCTCAAAGGCCACGAAGAGACACTGCCTGTGCTTGGTTCAGCCTCCTGCATGGAGTCCAAATGTGACTTACACGTTTTCTAGGGCTGAGGGATATTTAGGGACACAACAGAAACCTGAATTATGTTAAGGTAATACCATCAAACGGGAAGAATTTGGAATCTCCTTTCTTGGTCTGGGTTCCTGGAGGGTGGGGCCCATGGGAAATAAGACTTTCCTCGGGATGCTTGTCCCAGGAAATGAAGAGTTGCACCACTCAGGGAATGTCCTGATCCTCACAGCAGATGTAAGCCAACCAACAAAAGAAGCAACCAGCAACAAGACTGTACCTGCCAAATATGCCACTGGATTCTTCCACCAGGCCCCTGCATTGGCTCTTGTGTCTCCACAAGACAAACACACTGTGGAAACCCTGCAACCCAACGCTCTTCCCAGGGTGGTCCGCCTAGAACACCGTCCACCACCCGTGGGCCTTTAATATGGTGATGACTCTCTAGAACAGGAAAGGAAAGCAAGTCGAGGTCTTGGAACAGAGATTAACAGAGGCAGAAAAGTCACCCACCCTAACCCCATGCACAGCTCCTCCACCTCATCCTCAGCCGTGGGATGACATGGCTGGTGACAAGTTTCTGAGGTAGCCATCCCATCTGGGGAGAGCTGTAACTGCTAGGAAAGGCCTTTCTAAACCCAGCTGAAATCAGCCCCCTCATTTCCATCTTCTGGAGAACCCAGAGTGAGTATTACTATTCCACAGCCATCTCCGTGTGTCTCCTCTGCTCTCTGGTAAACTCGGCCTGGAGGACAGAGAATGACTTGCTCCTCTCTGTATCCTCTCAGCTTAGTGACTGGATAAGGCTCATAGTCCATCACTGCTCCCCAAGAGGGACTGGATCTAACTCCTCTTCCACAGGACAGTCCTTCAAGTATCTGCAGACAGCTCTCGGGCTGTGGTTCTCTCAACTGTTACGATGTGAGCTGGTGTCTAATTGCTTTTCTCTCCGGATCATCTTCTTCTTAATCCCCTTCATTTTGTTAAGTCCCTCTCAAAGTGCGGGCATAGGATGGACCCCAGTGGCCCAGAAAAGCATGTCCATAAGGGAGTGAGGAGGGAGGAACATCCATCACCACTCATCAGGGAACACACGAACACCTGACAATCAGGGAAGTAACATGAACGCCTAAGTCTGGAGAGTGTATGCCTCACCCACAGGGATTCCAAATGTTTCAGTCAACATGCTGGTCAAACACAACACAGTGTGATAGGCCCACAGGCTGCCAGAGCTCAGTCCGCGGACAGAGGTCCTGGGGCTTCCCCCTCCATCTGGACAACACCCCGAAGACTCGGGTCACAGTGGTCTTCTCCAGCCAAACAGAATCTCAACTCCCACCCCAGCACGAACTGCAGTGAAGGTAGGGATCGCCAATCGCAAGCTTGAAGACATGGTTTTTTTAAACTGCAGTCCAGGGCAACACATTTATCCTTCAAGTTCCATCCTATTTCTTTTAGCAAGTCATCCCCAACCATTGAAATCATTTTGACTCTTGATCTCACTTCCAAAACATTTGCTTCCTATCTCATTTCATAGTATCTCTACATTTGAAAAGCACCTTTTCTGTGTTTTCATAAGAGGTTGCTATTGTTGGGAACTATTATATTCACAGTATGTATAACTGTTCTCTGATATTCAGGAGGTGACAGGATTCTAGAAGGTCTCTCCCTGGGGCAACCTGAGGGAAGCCATCACAGAGAATCTAGGCATCTGGATAGGGTCCAGCCCAACAGGGCGTAAGTCATCAGCAGGAGTCAACCTGAGACAGAAAGGATCAGGATGATGGCAGCTGCCACTGGGACAACAGCTGTGGTCAAGACCCAGCTGCTAGCTTAGATAGTCAAGTGAAGCCAAGCTTTACCCAAAGAGAGATCAGCCTTGAAAAGTTCCAGTGACTGTGCTGTGGATGAACCAAAGAGGAGTGAGGGCGGGCTCCCTAGATGTCTGGAGCCATGAAGCCTTCCAAGAAGGACAAGAACTACCAGCCTAATGAAGAGATTTCTGGGGCCAAAGATGCACCTTCCACATAAAGGAATCACAGAGCCCCAGACAACTGTGGGGTAAAAATTCATCATGGCCCAGAGACAACAGTGTTATCATTCATGGAGCTGACACAAGAAAGCAGCTTCTACAGCAGACGTGAATCCTACCAAACCAAGCAATTGAGAGGCCCAAATCTCCCTTAGGGTAGAAATGCATGCAGTGACTACACCTACCTTCCAACCCAGACAGTGAGAAGGAAAATGCAGGACCCCTGGCACTACAACAGCAAGACATGTGAGCCACACCTGGATAAGGCTGGACTTTCTCGGGAGAACAAGTGGTGATTTATAAAATGTTTTCAAGTTTTGTTGCCTCATAAACTTCTCTCTGACAGATAAGATACTGGACTCAGCTGAACTACAGGGAAAAGGGATTTGATGACTCCTTGGCCAAGATAACCAGGGAGGTCACAGTGAGGGGAATGAGGGCAGCTATGGCTCCAGCAGGTGGGGAGTGGAGTTGGTGGGCCTGATGCAGGCAGGTGAAGATGTGGGCAAGGAGGCTCATAGTAATGTGACTGCGTCTCCTTCCACCACCGCAAGAGAAACCACTCGCGAGACTGACAGAGATACTTAAGACAGCTCCTTTGGTTTTGTGGTTCAACTAGACACAAATCATTCCTTTAAGTATTTAGCCCATAATTCCCTATCTTGTCCACAAGGACATCAAAAATAACTATCAAATGTCTTTTTGCAATAAAGATCCACTAATTAGTGGCCTTCCACTATGAGACTAATAATTCTACCACAAAAAGAAACAGACCTGAACATGGTTGTATATACGGTCAACACACCTTGCTTCCTAACGATCTCCG